ACAACCTGAAGAGAACAAATATAAAATTTATAGAAATTACTATAACACAATCAACACTGGAGATGGTTTAAAATATTTCTCAACGAAGTAACAGTTTTAGTCAACAATGTACAAAATTGCAATTAAATACCTGAAGAACACTCTTTACAGTACCATTTGCCTGTTGGTATGGTCGCTGGTGTGAGATCGCTGGTGTGAGGCAAAATGAAACCACCCAAACTCGCAATTTCCAGAATCACAACAAATCATCTCATTCGTTTCCGAACCTCCACATAAACAAAACGAATCCTCACTCAGAATAAATTCTTCTAACGCCTCAATTTCACTATAATCAAAACTATCATTTTCTTCAGCGGTAATGTGCTCCACTACGTGCGACGTCATCTTTCCTTAGGCTGAAATGGCACGTGACCCGACTCCGAGAACTGCCGAATGCACAGTGCAAACAGATTTAGGGATCACCCAGCTACGCGATTACGATCTTAAGCGTAATTAGAAGTAAACATCAATGTTTATTTATTACTTCAAAATAATCAGCGGCAAAACAGATAGATCAAAGAAAATTGGTCAGTGGTTCATCCTTTCTTAGTACATCCATGGTTCTTGCAAGGCATTTAAATTGAGCGCTTCAAGCAGCCATTGGTTGATTAGTGACATGAGACCTGTAGGATTTGTTGATTTAAACAATAACTTGCTCACTTCACCGGCAGCGATGCATCAAGCTGTCGTTCGTTTAATCTGCACTTGCACTTGCACCCGAGTGTAGTAACCTTCATTGATGTTTTTGGCTTCATGATTCGTTCATAAAATTAAATTCATAAGTTATATTCAGTCAGCGATAAAAGGAATACTTATTTTTCACTATCAATGCGATTTACCAGCATTCCATTGGAAAAGAAAACAATTAAATTATTGTTTCCACTTTGGCTGTAACAAACGGGTGACATGCTTTGAACAAATATGGCTGCCAGGTCAGAGGTCAATGTCTCAAAATACGTATTTTAGACATGATTGTGAAAATAAAAGTGTATATATTTTTTTCACTTTTATCAAATCAGATTAATTTTACATTGAAATATTTAAAATAAAGTTAAAATAATTAAAGTAGTTACATGTAGTAGAATGAAAAAATGAATATTAATTAGCTCATGAATATTAATAATTAGTGACCGGCACTCAAATCAGGCTGGGCAGAACCCTGCTTGCAACACATACATCTAAAGGGGCAAAATTACATTTGAGGTCCCCACTTTTTGATAACGCAAAAGTGAGTAATTTGAGTTCCCCCCAAAGGGTGAATGTGCATTAAGGCGTCAATTTGTTCGTCCCTGTTCGGAAGCAGTCCTAAAACTGGGACTTATGGATTTACCTTTGTATCTGTACATCTGTGCATCCGTGTGTGCGTCCCAACCTATATCTCAGACATGCCTGGACTGATTACATTAATACTTCACACATGCATCATACATAATATTATACATATGCACATAAGTTTGTTTCATGATCTGGTTCAAGATGGCCAAATGGCAGTCATTTTTGTGCTGAAAAATTATCAAAAATCAAGCATTTATGAATAGATTTTGTTCAAACTTGGTACATACGTTGGACCTTGATGCACTTTATTTTGTTTTTCAGATCGGATTTATAATGACTGATTGTGTTAAAATTTTATATATTCATTATTGATCATGTCATACACATGATACAGTACAGCTCAAAACTTGCTTACTCAATGCACTAACGCACGTTAACGCCCTTTTGTATATAAATGCTAAGAATATTGTATGCAAATTGTGCAAATTAGGTGACTGGTCACCTTCCAGCTATTTCAGATTGCGAAGGACACTGAATCGAAAATGTAAAATTAACCGGGATTTATCAAACCATGGTTTAGTGGGAGTTGTTGTTTCAGCTAAATTTGTACATGTATGTTTATAGGTTGTATGCACGTGTCAGAGGTCAACAAATGTATAGCATATATTATTGTTTTAACATACATCATATAACATGATTATATTACAGCCAAGCCCTAATGAGAAGTCGTCTTTTGAGAGAAAATGGAAAATATCTTCCAAAAGATGTACGTATATAAAAACTTTTTTCTATTTTGTGTCTTACCGTATTTATCCGGGTAAAAGCCCAGGGTCCTGAACATGGAAAATTGTCAAAAAATAGGGGTGAGCGTTTGTCCGGATATCCTCGGCAAAAAGAAACGAAAATTCACGAAAATTGACAACACGTAGATGAAACTGCGACAGAGAATAGAATGGTAAATAAAAACACTCAAGAGAAATAAATGAACAATATGCAACTTTAGAAGTAAAACAAAAATAATGTAATGCTTATAAATAAACCAGAAATAATAAAAATCAACATTTGAATTTAGGATTCCCCAGCCGTCAAACACGCTCAATACGTGTGAACCCAAAATGAACTAAAATGTCACGAGTATAAATTATTTCGTATATTATTTATTATATTATAAATATTTTGACAAATACCAGATCAACAGTCATACACGAACAATAATAATTTACGAATTTACACAGTGAAAATTGCAAAAGTTCATAGTTCGAAAAAAAATCTGATCTCTATTTTGTAGTACGTTCATGGACATCTTCGTCAAAACCTTCGAAGTACAAGTTGCCGTCACTATCGCCCGGGCCGTCGAGCAAGATACCTACAGCTTCGTCCCAAAGTTAGTTGATGTCGTCGCACACAATTTTGACTTAGCCTTTTTAATCCTCAGATTTCTTTGTCGTTGCACTCTTAATTCATGTCTAATAACAATAAAGAGACAAGAAAAATGGGCTCATGGCAAACGACTCTGCTGCAGTGGCGCACAATGATTTTGTTTACAGTTTGTCAATCATCTTTGACCTTTCTGCATCTGCTTCTGATTGGCTAAAAGTGACATCACTACTAGTGTTTCATCATAGAGTTTATCAGACTGTACACTCATCAATCGTGGTGAAATTTATCATTCAGCAAGTTTTGGCTATTTGAATGCTCTAGCTATATGGATAATGCGATGGGCTTAAAATAGGAAGATTTTTTTTTTACCAACGACAGAAAAAATAATTTTCATGACAGAAATGCAATAGCTGTGATGAAAGATGGTGAAAAAAAAATTGGAAGGCTTTGGCGTGACATTGCAAAACAACGTGCTTTCAATCAGGTACGGGTTTCTACAATATTGCAACTTTGGTTTCATTGTCGACGACGCTAAAGCCGAACGAGTGTGACACTTATAAGATTTGCTTGAATCGTTTCTATAATTAAACTCAAACCAAACGGCCCTTTTCAGGGCCACGACATATTTCAAAAAGAGAACTACCGTTTCTGCTTTAATATATATTTTTGTTGACTCGCTGGCTGGTATGTTTCTGATAAAAAATCTTGAAAAAAATAAATGTAAACTGTGTAAAACAGTGGTGAACGCGCTGCTCTATTCAAGTCACAGCTATTTCGCGTTCACTCCTCGTTTTATGCAATTGACATTTATTTGTCAAACTTTGTTATCAGAATCACAACAGACTGCAGGGAAGTCAACTATTAATACAACAAAAAAAAAAGGTTTTTGTTATTTTATTTTATTATAGGTGTAGAAAAAACACCCCTGGGCGTATGCTAGGATATGATCTCAATTCCTTTATTTTATCAAAAGTTGGGGGGTGGGCGTTTGTCCAGGCATGGGCTCTTAGCCAGATAAATACGGTAAATGTACATGTTCAAAAATGTATAAGCAAAGGTAAAACTATGTGTATTTTTTAAGTAGGTTTACAGATTCATGTAAATCGTACTGTGATGAGTAAAACCACAAGACACATTCTATCGGTAGTTACACTGCTGAACAATTTGGTGTCTGCCCAGAAATAAATCAATACCTCTGATGAAATAACTTATTATTGATACAAACCAACCAGATCCCAAATAGCTCAGATATTGGTAGTATTCATGTGCTGTGTGTGGTTGTGCTTCTTGTCAACTCACTTTGGTGAAAGATGCACAGAGTTCAAGTCTGTATTATTGCCTGCTGCAAAAAATCACAGCACATGGGTGATCTGTAGCACCACTCTACTACCGGTAAATACACAAGTATACTAATCACTTCAACTGTAATTGACACATTTTCATACGTAGTTGTTTTTGACTCCCATGTGCGAAGCACAAAATGGGAGTCTTTGCAGTTAGTGTGTGTGTATGTGTGTGTGTATGTGTGTCCGACTGTTCCACTGCTATCTCAAGAACCATACATCGGTTTTTGATGAAACTTGGTGCATAGATGCTCTGGGTCAATTTGCAGATTTGATTAGGTTTTGGTAAAAATCCATGCTCGTTAATTACCTAATTTGCATGATAATTAGCTAATTTTTAGCTGTTCTATGACTGTTCCACTGATATCTAAAGAACCACTCATTGGATTTTGATGAAACTTGGTACATAGATGCTCTGAACATATTCGCAGATTTGATTAGTTTTTGATAAAAATCCGTGCATATTAATTACCTAATTTGCATGATAATTAGCTATTTTTTAGTGGTTCCATGACTGTTCCACTGATATCTAAACAACCACTCATTGGATTTTGATGAAACTTGGTACATAGATGCT